GGAGAATGGGGAGGAAGCGGAGGAAGAGGAAGAGGAGGAGGAGGGGAGGAAGAGGAGGAAGAGGAAGAGGAGGGAGAGGGGAAACTGCTGTGCTGAAGGTCAGGAGGTGAAGAGACTCTGCAGACAGCCTGAACTCAGAGACCTTGATGTCTAACACCGAGTCTGAGGAGGACACCTTCTGTTTTCTTCTGTTCGGTCAGCTGACCTCGGGACGACACGAGACTGAAGGTTAAATCTTTTCATTTCTGTCTGTTCTCACCTGCAGCTAAACAACCTGTTTTATTTTCTCTGTTTTATGAGTGTCACTAAGTTGATCCGTGTGAAGGATTGTCTTCTTGTTGGCAGAATCACAGAAAATCTTCCATCCTGATCGATATAACAGACACGTGTACTCACTGTGTGTACCTAAGGCTTATGGTAACACACACACACACACACACACACACACACACACACACACACACACACACACACACACACACACACACACACACACACACACACACACACACACACACACACACACACACACACACACGAACACAGAGGAGGGGGACTCACAGCGACGTTGTAGATGGCCATGCCCACGGCTCGGTGGTCGTTGATCTTCTCGGTGGAGACGGATTTGGTCTCGTAGGCGAGGAAGATGCCGAGCAGCAGCAGCAAACCTTTATAACCGTAAACCACACCTGAGGGGACAAGATGGCCGCCGTGAGGACAGGTACAGCCGTTTGTACGTCTGGTTGTTTCACTCAGAACAAAAAAGAAATCGTAATCAGGTTGAAAGTCCTCCTGAGCGCGCACACACACACACACACACACACACACACAGATCTGACAGGTGATGTCACAGCGGGTGTTGGACTCACCCAGCCAGGTGTTCATCTTCTGAGAGCTGCAGTGCTCGAGCAGAGGCTGAATCAGAACATCCAGGTCTCCTTTAGGGGCCTCTCTGGTGAACTTCTGCTCCCGACACACAAACAGGTAGAATCAACATGAATATATCAGAGCTGCCTGTCGATCCATTAAAACATTTCATCAGGATTAATCACATCAGAGGCTGTCATAATCACCACAAGCTTAACAGTTTTGGGGTTCTTTTATGCGTTTTCGTCAAGTTTTGGTTTTGAGGCGACCCTAAGCAGGGTAGTGCAAACTGAGGCGCCTTTCACTCAGCATTATGGAAGCAAACACAGGATCACTCAGAAGACTTTGTCCACCCCGGCTCGAGTCTGCTTACCTGACCGTCTTTCTGAGTGTTAAAGACAATGAATGACTTACTGAGTGCAGTAGAAGGAAACACAGATGTTCACTCCATCATAACATCATTCTGTATCAAAGACCGGTCTCCAGACCACTTCTTTAATTTTTTTAAAGATTTATTTTTGGGCATTTTGGGCCTTTATTATAGAAATAGGACAGTGGATAGAGTTGGAAATCAGGGAGAGAGTGAGTAGGGAATGACATGCGGGAAAGGGGCCACAGGTTGGATTTGAACCCGGGTCACCCACTTGGAGGACTACAGCCTCCATACATAGGGCGCGTGCTTTAACCAATGCGCCACCAGCGCCCCTCCAGACCACTTTTTGAAGCTCTCGGCATTGAAAGCATTTTAACTCAGTCTCGTCTCTGTCTCAGGCTGGCCAGACTCAGGATTATAAATTAAGACCACCACTGATAAGCTTCTTTGTCCATGTCATTTCTGAGATTAGAAGAAAATCACCTCTTTCTAAAAGAACAAATCACTTTAGTTCATTCAGAATTTGATTTTTATCCCCCGGTTACGACCGCAACCTTCCAGGTGTTACGGTCCAAGTGAGTGACACGATGCTGCATCAAGATGAGGATTTATCAGAGATATTTATGGTCTTGTCTCAGTCTCTGTCTCGGTCTCGGAGCACTCTGGTCTCGGTTAGTGTGGTCTTGACTACAACACTACTGTATCACACTACGTCTCCACACACTGTAAAGTGAGCTGTGTCCTCTGAGCGCTTCATCAGAGTTTAAGTGAAGTGCGGATCTGTTGTCTGTTTTTTTTTAACAATGAAGCGGCACTGAAGTTCTTATATTTCACTGATCAAACCTCCACGGTGATGTGCAGAGGATCCACGATCTGCCAGATCATCAGAGACAGGACGTCGATCCCCAGCAGGACTCCCACCGTGGCGTAAAGCTTCCACGGCTCCAGGTGCTGCTGGGAAAAAAAAGAGACAGTGTGTGAGTCTGTGAAAGGATTCATGAAGAAAAACAATATTAGAATGAAAACAACACGAGGATAAGAATCAAACTGAGGCAGTCTGATCTCTCACAGATTTATGATCCATCAATAAGTAAACTTTTTATTTATTTAATCGAGGTAAACAAACAAACAGGTCGACACTGCACAGTGAGGATTGATCTTGTTGGATTATTTCACACCTTAAATCTCCATATGTTATGATCCATATGTTATAGATTAATTTGGAGACGGTTACGTCAGCGCACTGTGGCGGCAGAAAAACAGCGAAAGCAAGCGGAGAGAAACACGGAGAAGCAGAGTGACGCTCTGAGGTTAAAGGGAAAATGTCCTGCTGTGGGATTTTTGTCAGATCCACACCGTTTATACACCTGATCACAGGTGTGTTTATATCTTCATCCTGCTCACTCTGTCTCCTTTCTTTCTCAGCAGAGAGACGGCATGTGGGATGTTTTTAGGGATCAGATGATCTCCTCATTGTGCACCCACCTCTGATGTTCCCGGTTCCCGGTTTTACAATAAGGGTACATTAATTAACATTAGTTAATGCATTAAGCCTTAATGGTTAATTATGGTTAAGTAATGCTTATTCAGAGCATTAATAAATGGTTAATTATGGCTAAGTAAGGCTTATTCAGAGCATTAATAAATGGTTGATCATGGTTTAGTAATGCTTATATAACATCAGCAATAATGATAGGTGAGGCTGTAAGTTAAGAACGTCTACATGAAGATAAAGGAACAATCTAACGTCTACATGAAGACCATGGTGTGGTCCATTGATCTCAACCTTTACCAAAAATAAGTCACCAGTTGGAGGATGGACAAGAACATCCTTAATAAGGATTAAATAATGCATTAATTAATACCGTAGTTAAAATGAACACTCTTAATAAATGATTACTAGACACATTAGTTAACTGTTAGTAACCATTAGTTAAGGCTTAATAATGCCTTAACTAATGTTAACTAATGTACCCTTATTGTAAAGTGTTACCATGTTCCCTAACCGTCCCTAAAAGTCCTTGTCTCCTTACCTTCCTCTTGTCCTTCTTGTCCTCCTTCTTGGTGAAGACCGTGTGGACCCACCAGATCTTTGTGAACATGCTGCCGTACGCCAGACTAAAGCCCAGACCGAGCAGCCAGAGACGGAACTGACCAAGAGAGAGAGAGAGAGAGAGAGGGAGAAACAGAGAAACAGAGAAAGAGAGGGTTTATTATTATCACACTCGTTCATTAATCTTTCATTAAACTTTAGGCTGCATCATTAACCTCCGTCTGACTTTAATAGACCTCTAAAAAAATGTCTTCCTGTCGTCTGAGACTAAGCAGAACTCATCTGTGTCTCGTCTTCTCTGAAGAGGAGAGATTCAAACTGACGGCACGAGGAGCGAGCAGACCAGAACTTAAGGGCCCTATTGTGTGTGTGTGTGTGTGGCGCAAAGCGACCTGGGACAGATCCAAACACATTTTCTCCTTCTTACATTCAAGGCATCACCTCCCTACTTTTCTAAACTCCTTCATACCGACACACCTACCCTCACAACTTCCTCCTCACTGTTCCTCCTGTCCCCTTAACCTCTATGAGGTCTGGAGCTCAGAGACAGTTTTGTTTAGGTTTGAAAGACTGGTGCAACAACTTCTGGAAATCTACTCAGAAAGTTGCATGTTACACCTTTGAACAAATGTCTGCTTCACACACACCTCTCCTCCCTCCTGATTATATTTTGACGGAGAGATAAAATGCACACTGGGGAACAACATTTATCCTTATATTGTTTTTGATTAATAAAATGGAAACTGAAAAAGAGGATAGTGAAGCGTAGTCGATTTAAGTTTTGAAGGATGAAATGATAAAGTTGAGTATCGTTTTTTGTTGGACATCTTTGATGATGTCTCACAGATGATGGACAACTGTGTCTGATAATAAGTTTAAAAGTTTAAAACCGGCGTGTTTGAAACAGACTCTCTCATCGTACCTGGCAGACGACGGGGAAGTGAGTCCTGTGGACGTGCAGGCCGTCGATGCCCAGAGGAAACACAGCAGCCAACGCCATCATACAGCCCACCGCTGTCATGTTGTTCAGGTACGGCTGAGAGTTCTGGATGTACCTGAAACACATAAATACATACATGACCATGATGTAAACAAACACCCATAAAATAATAATGGAGGAGCAGAATGGAACAAAATCTGATCTCTATCAAACAGTAGACAGGATATAGAATTTATAAAACGATAAATATGGAACAGACAGTTTTATTGGGATGAGCTGCAAGAAGACACATTTTTCACTCCCACTTTACTTTTTCCTGCCTTCTCTGTAGTAAGATTCCTGCGTGAGGTCAGGACTCGGGACACTATAGATACAGATTCAGTATCCTGCACAGAGTGATAACAGAGTCTGTGTGTGTCAGTGTGAGGTGTTATCTCTCACAGACACACACAGCTCCTCACTGTCATTCACTTTATTTACTGTCTGTCAGAACGATTCGAAGCCTGGCTTTAACCGTCTGTCTCTCTGCTCCGCTCTGTTACTGATCTGAACACCTCCATGTGCACTCGGTTTTATTTATACGCTCAGGTTTGTCTCTCCTGAAGTTACAGATTTTATAAAAGGACAGCTAATAGTCTTTTTCAACATGAACCAAACTCATGATAATTTCCCCAAAATTCCAGGTGGAGCTGCATGCTTGATTTGCAAATATTAAACGTTTTCAACCCTATTTTTTTTCCTGCCAGCTCAAAGAAAGACTCCTGCACCGCATCATGGAGAGTGTTTAAGCGAGTGTTGACGTTTATTTCATGCGACCGGGGGGGGCGACCACTTTGGTCCACCAGTACGTTCCTCTCCACTCGCTTTATGATGTGAGCAATTCTGATTACGCGCAGCATTTATATAATGACAAAAAAACTGTAATTGTAGCTCAGGACTGCAGGCTTTGTCCAACAGCTTGGATATGTTGTAAACTTTACACTGAGGCCCCGCCCCCCTCCCACCCGACGGGTAAAACTTTGACACACTGTGAGGGACAACACAGGAAGATTTCAGGGGCACGATGTCCGTCAATTTGCTTTAAGTTTTCAGGATAGGTGAGTGAAATGTGTAAAAAGGATAAAGCCAAAGCTGCAGCTGAAAGACATCAAAACGCTCCTGAAACCTGCAGAAGAGTCAGACTCAGGTTCAGGCTCAATCGACCCTTTGCCTCTACCGCTAAGCCCCTCCCCCCTACGTTCATGTCCAGGGGTATAGGGCAGCGGACGACTACTGATGACGTATCAGGGTCTAGAAGGGTCTTGTCATTTTGTAGAGGGTAAAGGGGCAAAGATTAGCAATGGGACTAATAAGGTGAAGGTGTGGAGCAGGTGTGTTACCTGATGTTGATGTTGGTGTTGTGGATGAAGGTGTGGAGCAGGTGTGTTATCTGACGTTGATGTTGATGTTGTGGATGAAGGTGAGGAGCAGGTGTGTTACCTGACGTTGATGTTGATGTTTAGGATGAAGGTGAGGAGCAGGTGTGCTACCTGACGTTGATGTTGATGTTTAGGATGAAGGTGAGGAGCAGGTGTGTTACCTGACGTTGATGTTGATGTTGTGGATGAAGGTGAGGAGCAGGTGTGCTACCTGACGTTGATGTTGATGTTGTGGATGAAGGTGTGGAGCAGGTGTGTTACCTGACGTTGATGTTGATGTTTAGGATGAAGGTGTGGAGCAGGTGTGTTACCTGACGTTGCTGTTGTAGATGTTGAAGGTGAGGCAGATGATTCCTAACACGATCCCAAAGCCAGCGAACACCGACATCGTCACAAAAATTTTCTGAGACAGATATCGAAACTTCTCGATCACCACCGTCTGGTCTGCAGGAGGGCCGGAGCCTGTGACAGACACACACACACACACACACACACACACGCAGGAGGAGAGGTGTTACTCATACTGTTATTGAGGACATGTGTGAGCTGATCAGAGCTCATGCTACTATTCATTATAACGCTATCATAGTAACCATCTCAAGCGTCTCCATGTTTGTAGTTTACATCAAACATATCATGTAGTTTCATACCAACTGAGCGCTCTGTTGTGCCCCCTAGAGGCATCCTACAGTAACACACATAGTCAACATTTACAGTCATGACACAAAGACGAGGTTAAAGGCCTTAAGAGGACATGAGGGTGCAGAGAGGAAACAGCACATCAGTAATCTGTTTCACAGCAGTTACAGGCTTTAACAAATATTCATATTTGACATTTCTGTCTTTATCTGGTGATGAAATCAGACGTGTTGTCTTCCTTTGTTCCTGTTGAAAGTCCAGCAGCAGCTGCAGAGAGTGACCCACAGATCAGCTCGAGCAGCGGTGAGTCCGTCCAATCAACGTTTCTGAAGGATTTCTTGTTTTTTTAAAGCTCTCTCTCCTCCCGCTGTCTGCCTCTCTCTGCCTCATGTTGTGTTCTCTGAATCTGACATGAATAAAAATAGCTGCTGTGTGACACTAAGCCTGTGAAGAAACATCCTCAAAGTCCTCCTGAGCATCACACTGTGAAGTGTGACACACACACACTAAACACACACACACACAAAACTGCTTCTGTTTCTATTCTGACCTGCAGACTCCATGGCAACACGCTGTTAACATCCATTCAAACTCGACACACACACACACACACGCACACACACACACACGCACACACACACACACACACACACACACACACACACACACACACACACACACACACACATGGCTCACACTGCTCGCCTGCAGCTCCTCTGTCACTGTGCAGACTTCACACACACACACGCACGCACGCGCACGCACGCACGCACGCGCGCGCACGCACGCGCACACACACACACACACACACACACACACACACACACACACACACACACACACACACACACACACAGCAGATGTTGTAAATGAAATGACATGTAAATGTAAGTCAAGTTGAACTCGTTGGTTTCTGCTCTTCCTCAGCAGCAGAGTGTGTGAGGGTAGAAACGGCGCTTGCAGGAATACTCGGTCATATATTTTGATCCTTTGAGGCCGTTACAACTACTAACTAACTATCACATGTCAACGATGTCACTTTGAGGAAACTTTGATAATAATGTAATCATACACACAGTTAAATATATATATTTACATCTGTGACTACAAAGTTTACCTACAACATCAAATGATTTATCAAGAAATCTAAATCGTCTCTTGATGGAGATTATTTGTGGAAACTTCTTACAGTTCGGTCTGAAAGTCTTCAAAGTGAGACTGTACGAGTTGAGAATGTTTTAAAGTGCCCAACCATCTTTCCTGATCGTGACAGGGCGCCATCTGTCGGATATCTGATATGTATATTATCATCAGACCTGATACCGATAAAAGATCGGATCTGTGCCAATTCTAGTTTCAGGGTTTGGAAATGTAGTCAAAACAGCAAAAAAGAAAGGAGGGGGGGAGGGGGCCTAGTGGTTATGTTGGGCACCCCATGTATAGAGGCTGTGGTCCTCCTCGCAGCGGCCGTGGGTTCGAATACGACCTTGGCCCTTTGCTGCATGCCATCCCTCACTCTCTCCTCCCAACATTCCCTGTCTCTCTTATTCTGTCCTGTCTAATAAAGGCCAAAATGACCCGAAAAATATCAAAAAAGGAGCTCACTCAAAAAATAACAAAACTTCAGTCAGCCACCTTTAGCACACCTTTCCTTTAAAGCTCCAGGTAAATATAGTGTTGTTGTATTTTCAGTGTGTCACACGGCTGTGATGTAGACTTTAAGGCTGTCTCAGTTTGTCCCTGAAGTTACTCTGATGTCTCTCTGTCCTTTTTACAGCAGCAGCTCTCCTAATACAGCAAAGTGATACAGATTAATAACTCACACAGATTACACACCGAGCATGTGAGGAGGTGTGAGCGTACCTGTGTGTGTGTGTGTGTGTGTGTGTGTGTGTGTGTGTGCGTGTCCTTTGGGAAATTTGTTCTCTAGCATTAATACCTCTCTGCCCTTGATGGTGGAATCGGGACAGTGTGTTACCATGGCGACTGGCTCCATTATGGTAACCACGGCAATGTGAGAGAGAGAAAGAGAGAGAGGGGGGCATTGATGCAGCAGTGGTTGTCAAGGAGACGGTGGAGGTAAGAAAAATAGAAGGAGAAGAAGAAGAAATGGATTTGGAGGAGAGAACTAAAGCTTTGTTATTGAGCCAGGAGAGAGCACACAGGTGTGTGAGGTCTTAAACAGCAGGGGGCGCTCTTAGAGACGCATCCCTGTGTCAGAGTGACAAGTCAAGTGTCACCAGACGACACACACACACACACACACACACACACACACACACACACACACACACACACACACACACACACACACACACACACACACACACACACACACACACACACACACACACAGACCAATCAGCCCAATGTTTCCAGAAATTCCTTTACTTCATGAATAGCCCAAACAAACAAGACCTGAGGTCATGCATTAATGGGGAGATGTCAGAGCGGGGCTGCTACACACGTCGGTGCCTTGCTCAAGGGCACCTCGGTAGTCAGGAAGATCAGACAGACTCACATGTTCTGTTCATCACCGGGACTTGAACTGGAGACCTTACTACAGTTCCCGAAACCCAAGTCCCTCCACACTGAGCTACTCAGGTAACATTTCTGTATCAGCGAGCGTCATCAGGTCAGAGCTGTCTTTACAGACGAGCTGCTTCAGGCAAAAGTAAGAAATGCATACCTGATAAAAATATCTACAATGAGGCAACTCGCCCGTGATGAGTGAATGCAGCTGTTAGATAACGAACAAGATAAGATAACGAACAAGAAACATTCTAGAGGGTTTGTCTAGAAGCTTTACGTGCAGGACTGGACCGATGATACTGCTCTATGTGCATGAGAAAAGGAGATTGAATAATAATAATCATCATAATAATAATAAGAGCAACAAGAGAGGGACCAGCATTAAAAATCACTCTTCAACTTGAGAACAGCCTGTGTGCACTAAGCCACCCCCCCCCCCCCCCCCCCTTTTCAGTGTCAAATATGAAGTCAGAGTAACTCTTGTTGAACTGAACCTCGAGCTGTGGCTGCAAACAAACGTCCTCGTCACCTTCACAGAGCTCGTTCTGTCGGGGCACAGTCCTGGATATTTTTGGTTTCACTGCAGGGGGAGGCCGTCCTGACTTCAGCTGAGACGGGGGACGGGGAGGATGGGGGAGCTGGCTTCTTTCACTGTGTCACTCTTCTACAGTCAGACAGGCGACAACACAACACACCCTGGACTTGAGTATTAGTGCAGATATCGTAAAACACGATGTATCAGACACACCTTTCACACCTATTGTGAAGTGGGCTCTGTCCTATAAACCAGTAACGCTGAGACTTGCATGTCAACAAGTGCGGCCGTCACCATCACACCATCATCATGTACAAGCCGCTGCTTTGCTGTGCACTGCATGCTGGGATACATAGCAATGCAGACCAGTCTAGTGCCGCCGTTTTTAACAGCTTATCTCCCTTGTTAGGTCATTTTCGTGCACTACCAAAGCTTTAAAAAATGCATAAGAGAGCAGCATCAAGAGAAAGAGAGAGAGAGGACTGTCTAAATTGCACAAATGTAACTTTGAAGCGTTGTCAGTAGTCAACTAAACAAACATTTAACAAGTGTGCAGGAGATTGTCTGACATTTTTGAAGATTAAAAACAAGAAATATTGTGGTGTAGGACTTCTATTTGTGTTGCTGTGATAATCGAAAAAAGCTTCGATATCATTTGATTTTGACTAGAATCACCTCAAAGTTTAAAACTTTGCTTCAATCTGTCCTTAAGTTCAGTCACAAAGTATTTGTTCTTCTGCCTCGACTGTCTGAGAGTCTCTAATGACTTTCAGACTCCAGCTGGTCCAGAGAGTCAAACTGACCGCGGGGTCGGACAGAAACATAAGGTCAGCACTTCCTGCGGCCCCCCTCCTGTCCCACCGAGGGGAGGAGGAGGAGGGATGGGGGGGGGGCGCAGGAAGTGCTGGGACGCATTTGGACGACCTTGCTGCATGTTCATTGTGTTGTGAAAAATCTAGTTGGAGTCACAGCTGGCAGAGTTTCAGCTCGCAGCTTTCAGTGACGGCAGAGAGAGTGAGGTGAAAAAAAAAAGGAAACAGAGATCCACGCTGCACGACTGAGAGGTTCACCACACAACAGACGAGTTCACCGGCTGATATTACAGGACGAAACACCTGCACCTGTGTAAAACATTATGTGCACTCTTTGTCTGTTGTCTCCTTTGTCATAGCTGCCATTTTCATTTAAGTATGTTAACGCAGGCTAGAAGACAAAAAAACCTCGCCCACCAAAGCATTTCCACTGGTTCACCGGGTTTAGAGCTGTAAGGGGTGTGATAGTGCCCCCACTCCTCCCTCCCGCTCTCCTCCACCTTGAATCATTCAGCGTTACTTTGAGCAAACAAGAAATCCAATCAGCAGCTTCTCAGTAGGCTCGCAGTAACACAAACACACAAACACACACACACACAAACAAACACACTCAGAGTCAAGTCAAGGTTGATATTTACCCAACCCCCCCTTGACCCCCCTCCTCGCCTCTGATTGTTTCATCACCCATCATCTGCTTTTCTTTAACATTTCACACTCTTACAACATCCAAATCAGAGTTTACAGATTTTAGATCTCACACACACACACACACACACACACACACACACACACACACACACACACACACACACACACTCTCACACACACACACAAAGTCAAAGTCAAGGTCATGAGGACCAATCAGATCCCTCCATCTGAGTCGTTTACCTTGGAGCGGGAGAGGGAGGTAATGATGGAGGGAGGAGTCAGGGGGAGGAGGGGAGGATGATGATGAGGAGTAAAAGAAAGAGGAGGAGGATGAAGGAATCTCACCGATCCACTTGTCGTTTCCGTACCAGGACAGGTTTCCTTTGGTGCTGTCGTAGTACCCGATCTTCTTATAGCTCCCCCCTGTGACACAGAGAGAGAGAGAGAGAGAGAGGGAGAGATAACGTCACCACACCAGGTTATGTCTATACCGACCCAAGATTCCAAGATATGATGTGTTGGTTCCCCCTGGAGTGTCAGACACATATGGAGTTCGGCTCCATAGACCATATTCTTGCGGCAGCTGTTACCATGACGTCAGACTCAGGGTGCTCAGAAGCTGTTATCGCGTCTTACTGTTAAATTCCAGAATTTAAATCATGTTAATCTGAGCGACTGCAATCAGCAAACAAACGCACACCACTATAAAGTTGCTAAGTCGTAAAAAAAAACAAAAAAAAACAATGGATATGATGCACAAAGATTCGCAACACTAATGCTCCCAATGCTACATGCATTAAAGGTCACATATTCTCCTCTTCGTCAACCAGTTTAAATAAGTCTCAGAGCTCCTCAAAACATGTGTGTGAAGTTTCTTGTTGTAAATTCACTCTGATCCTGTATTTGATCATGTCTATAAACCCCTCTATTTCAGCCCTGCTCAGAACAGGCTGTTTCTGTGTCTGTACCTTTAAATATGTAAATGAGCTGTGTCTGACCACGCCCCCTCTCTGGAAGGACTAGGGTAGCTAGCTACCATATCATATTTTAGAGTCTGGGGTTGGAGTAGCCATAAGCCTGGTGTGGTGACGTATCCTTTATCTGTGTAACCTGGAACATAACAGAAAGAAATGACAACACCTTCTGAGCTTTCTCCCAGCAACATGACCGCCATGAGACTATGGTATATTGCAAGAAAGTAAGCAATCATATATATTCAGTGTCCAGCTCGACTGTGCATAAAGCTTGCAGAGAAACATTTAACATTTAAAGGGTTCAGGATGTGCGATAATAGTCTCCAAAGTCTCCTCTGGTGCAGAGACTCCGCTCCAGGCCTTCTTCATCCTTAATAAGTATTCAGCTTCGATTTGTTTTTAATATAAATGTCATTTCCTGACATTCATTTATTTCTCTTTCTGCCTCTCGGGATGTCCTGACAGTCTGATGTCCTCTCGCTCCCAGGACCCACTTCACTTCATGAGACGTTTCAATAATGAGATCCAGCCACAGGCGTCCCCACGGGCTGGTTTTAATAATAAAATAAATAAAACTACCCATGTGAGAAAGAGTGTTCAGCTGCAGTCCTGAGCTCTCTGTGATAAAACTCTTTAATATCAGGGAGCAGCAGCAGCACAGAGGCTGAGCCTACGGGCATCCAACAACGACACACTGAATCTCTGCACCGTCACCCAATCATTACGCAGCATCCTGCAGCAAAGGAGCAGGAGGACACTTCCTCTTCTTCTGCTCTGAAGATCAGATAAAAACAGTTTAATATTCTCCACATCTATCAGAACTAAAAAAAAAAAAAAGAAGAGCAGATAAACCGGAAAAACCATCAAACTGATGTGATTTATACGCAGACAGAAAGATTCTCTGATATGTTCTATAAATTAGAGTGAAGGAGCTCGCATGGAGGAGAGGTTTCCATGGAGACGGAAGATAATTAAGCCACGTCCACACCTGAAGGAGCACATTCTCCTTTCGTGTGATAACGAGGAGAACAACTCTTTAAAGGTGCGGTACGATGGGATGATCTATAAAACGATTACAGAATCAGGAAGTCAGATTTTAAAAACTTCAAAAAACTGAACCTTACACAGAACAAAGTGGATCCAGAGCCCCCTTCAGGCCCTTCATCATGTATGCTTTCAGCTATCCTCAGGAGAGTATCCTCAGGTGTTTTATAAGTATATATAGGGAATTGGCTGACTGCGAACATATTTACTGTCATGTGGACGGGGCTTATAAAGTGCAATGTGTTGAACTAATCCTCTAGAAACAAAAGCCCTGTTTCCACCACCCCGTCCAGTTTGGTACGGTTCCAATCGGTAACCCTGATTTTCCTGCCAACCTTAGTCCTACTTTGTAAGTGGTGTTTAAGCTGGTAGCCGTGTCAGCTACGGGGAGGCGTGACATCATAGCAGCACGACACAGTGTAGCCCTCAAATAAGTTCAACAAATAAGAAGAGAATGGGCAACAATGGAGGACGTTCCAGCAGAAGTCTGCACCTCGGGGGTCGTCCATGGGGCGGAGCTACCCGCTGACATTAGTTGCAAAAAAAAATAAAAAATCGAAGGGATATTAACAACATGGCGCGTTTTGTGTTTGTCCATGATTACAGCTGATGCATGGGAAGTGACTGGAAGTTGGACGGTACAGATCGGCGATTTTTGTACAATTACCAACATTTGACAGTAGAAGTGCCAACTAATGTGTACGTTACCGAACCAAGCTGAGCTGGCCTCTTGGTGGAATCGGCTCTAAAAACACAAAGAGATACTCAAGTAGAGACAACGCCTCATCATTGTCTCTGTGTGGAGGTCATGCAGTCACTGGTTAATCTTTCATGACACGATTTTTCCTTTATTTTGCTGTCAGAAAACCTGACAGGATTCACCGTATCCATGGCAACAGAGATCTCTTTTTTCTAATAATTGCTTGACCATAGAAAGATGTTAAAGGATATTTTAGCCACAAACACATCCCTATTAGTGTAAGAGTGCGCTATATTTAGAGTGCTTGTGCAGTTTCTTTTTCATGCTGTCAGCACTTTACTCCAGCCAAATGATTCCCAGCTACAGAGGCTCGAGTGAGCTTTTTATTCTCCATGTCCGTCTCTGCCTCTCTGGTTTGGGCTGGAGCACAAAGCTGACCCGGTCCAGCATGGCTCCAATTATCATCATCAAACAGACTGCAGATTAAACCGAGCCCAAAGAAAAATCTACAACACGAGCTCGGCGTTTAATCAGAGCGCTCCGACAGTCAGAGATCTGAGGCAGACTGGAGACAGAAACAGACTCAGTGATCAGAAGGAGACAAACACACGGGGACTCACACCTCTGCTGTTAACATACACACACACACACACACACACACACACACACACACACACACACACACACACACACCATCACACACCATCACACACACTCTCTGTAAAATCTTCATGGAAACACAACGATGCAGCCAGATAGCACGGGATCTATCCAGCTTGTGTGTTTATTCAGAGAGTTTACTCCGATTGGTCACACAAGTTTTACTGCATTTGTGTTTTCCTGTTTGTCCAACGCTCTCTTCCAGATCCACCAGAAACGAAACACCACCCTCTCTGGTTTCATATCACCTGTTCTCACCTCACAGCTGGGTTAATCTGCCCTCCTTCTCTATGAGCTGTGTCTGGATGAATTCTGACCAGGCCCCTGTGTGACGACCTGTCAGCTCGGATCCACCCCAGGATCTATCTCATGGACACCAACTACCTGTGTTCAGTTTAAGCTGTGGAGCTCCTGTCCATCTGTCTCCACTGAGCAACAGTTTCCCTGTATCTAAGAAGTCACACCTCGGCTGAAATCTGTCTAACCACAGCGCTATGAAACCAAAACACACACATTTTACTGGATTTAACGACGATGAACAGGCTGATGGGAATGTTGAAATAACTACATCGGGATGCTGAATTAATCATTTATAAGATCTGTCCACAAGACGACGAGAAAAAGGCTAGCAAAATGTTTTTTTTAAAGGAGATTGGTTTGACTGTTTCTGATGCAATATCTGAATGTCAGGAGGATCTTTGTACCTTGAAGCTGTTCGATCAGAGTCCAGGCCATCCGAGAACCCTGGGCGTCGAACACAACATGACCCTGAGAGCGAGAGAGAGAGAGAGAGTAAGAGTGAATTTAGGAGATTAAAAAAAATCAATACATTTGATTCAAATTGTTCATTCAAATGAAACATCGTCCTCCTCCCATGTACGCACCGACACGCCCTCGAAGGAGCTGGTGTTGAGCGCTCTGTAGATCTCGGCTGTGATTCCTCGGTTGTTGTAGTTGAAATCTTCCAGCCGGTGGCCCTTGGCCCTCAAGGGTCCCACCGTCTTGTTGAGGGCCAGAGCCAGAGCCCACACAGCGTCATAGGCCAGAGGGGCCTCCTGGAAACCCCCCGTCTCCTCTGGGTTCTTACCCCCCAGTTTAGACATCAGCCGGGCCAGAAACTCCTGAGAGGTCTGAGAGGAGAGAGAGAAATATGTGAGATAAGGATATGTGTCTCTAGTCTGTCTACAAACCCTCCAATGATGAGAAAAGGCCATCCTCTCCCCTCTTTTAACCTGCTCCACTTTTTAGAAAATGTGTGCTCAAACAGGCCGTTTGGAGAGTTTCCCTTCATGACATCACAAAGGGCAGTAACCCCTTCCCCAGATGGGTGACACTCCCACAGCTAGGTGTTTGTTCTACCCTCTGAGTCTGCCTTCTCACCGTAAACAGTAGGACATGGAGCGAGAAAGCCAGAGCCGACCCAAGCTCTTCCAGAGAGGGGGCGTGGTCAGCCACAGCTCATTTACATTTAAAGGTACAGACACAGAAACAGCCTGTTCTGAGCAGGGCTGCAAAAGCACTAGCTTGGTGCTCACAGTGAGAAACTGCGTCAGGGAAGGGAGGAGAGATCATACACTCTGCAGATTGAATATGGACCGCAGAGACTCAGCAGCAAAATCAGCTGTTGTGTCACCATGGCAACATGACCCAAAAAATCACAGACACACCAGGATGGGTCAATAGACAGAGAGCTAATAAATATCAATCAGGCTTATATAAACTCATAATGTGACCATTACTGTCCAGGCAGACGCGTGTTTCTGTCGACTGACTGTGACGTCGTAGCTTCTGACTGACAGATAACACTCCGCTCAGCGGGGGAATTCAATAAGAACAGATTGTGGCCGCTAAAAGCTCCAAACATTGAGCATCATCTGCGACAGGTATCTGCTCCGTCTCAAGTTCTAATTCACAAAGCACACAGGGCTGATGATATTCTGCTCCGTGCACCTTTACTCTGTGGTGCTGCCCTCTCATGCTGGTGGAGCTCAATTTGATCCGTCCAGGAGCGAGATGGGGTTGGGTGGGTGGGGGGTCGGTTTAAGTTTATTCTGAGGCCAGACTTGGAAATTTGTGATCCGAGTTCAACCGTTTACAGATCTTCTTCCCTGACTGGAGCAGCTGACTCACCAAGTTGGAGGCTCCTCGCACCGTCTCGGGGTTGAGCATGACAATCTCGGTGGTAACATGACCCTCCACCGCCTCCGTCATCTGCTCCACCGTGCAGTTAATGGACGGGTCTTTGATCTTAAACCAGTTATCAGCGTACCAGCCAATCAGAAACCACACAAACTTCTTCCCGTAGAGCTTATCCTTGTACACCTGCAGAGAGAGAGAGAGACAAGATTTATAATCTGGATTGCACAAATACCAAAATGTCACCAGATTTGTGCTATTTAGACGATTCAATTACCCAGCATGTGCCGTTAAATTGCCATTTTTGTTGCCGTGGTATCCACATTGTAAAATTTTTAGCGCATCTTTCAAACTTTCAAAGTTAAGTTGCAAAAAAAGCAACAAAGTTCCACATTAAATTAAAAAATGTCTGACTCTCTGTTGGGTTTGGGGTAAAGTCTAAAGGGTCTTTTTGGAGGTCTCAACATGATGGGAGTGCAAACTTAATGTTGTACACTGAGGTGAAGAAGTGTAACGTCGGGGCTCTTCATTAGAAAGTTTAGAGGGAGCGCTGTGAGGGTTGTTGACACTTGTGCAAAACCTGTAACATATCAAAATAGTCACCTCTTCTGTTGCATGTGAGTGTTATGTGATGTGATTTATTTAGAAAAATAAGTCATTATTCCATAAGTTCACAGAATGAGAGAGAGTCAAAGTTCTGGATGTATCCTGTTTGAAACGATACCTGAGCACTGAATCCTAAAATAATGTTAATAAGAGTGCAGTCAGGGTCTTTGCTGGGTGTCTTTGATATTCAAAATTCCTGCTCCTGTCACGGATAAACTGGGTCACGCTACCTCACAGAACACCTTGCGGGCCTCGGTCTCGTAGAACAGACCCACGATGATTCTGGCGTCTTGGCGCTGAGAGGAGAACAGAGAGGACACGGAGTCAGTCACAGTGAGAGGATGAAAGAACAAGTTAAAAGACCCCCCCCCACACACACACACACACACACACACACACACACACACACACACACACACACACACACACACACACACACACACACACACACACACACACACACACACACACACACACACACACACACACACACAGACACACACTCTCCCTCCTCTGCTCGGGCTGTTACCATGGTAACCTCTGCTACACAGCCAATCAATCAGAACCCTGGAACTGGGCCATCATGGAGAACGAGGTCGCAGGAAGGAGAACTTTTCATTCATTCATTAAAACCTAAAAGGGCTGATTTAAAACTATAAATATATATTTTTATTATTATTAGAATTTTATAAAAAACAAAAGGCACTCAGATTTATAACCATGAATGACCATACGATACGATCCGTTGTTTAAGAAGCGCTGTACATGGGGCACACTGACCCCTGGGAGGAGCTGAGAGTCCTTTAATTGCTGTGTGCTTTTATTTTGAAATACAGTAAGGCCCTTCCTGTAGATCGAAGGTCAGGACATGAAGTTAAGCACAGAAACAGGAAGTGGTTAGGGATCCCAAACTGAGGTCAAACAGCTCAAAGGAACGGTGACAAAGGTCAATGTGTGATGTCATTAGGTGGATATTTTCTGAGAGTTTGTTAAAGTGAAATGAGATATTCAAAGATGCAGCAGTGTCCTTCTTTTACATTACTGAGACTACAGGGAGACGCTGAGGACGACTACCTACAGTGAGCCTGAAGGGACAAAATAACATTAATTAAAGACCTTAATTATCAGTTAATAGTGTAACTAGTTAATAGCCTAGTTTTTCTTCTCTATGTTTAACTAGAAAACATGGGTAATCATTGAGCGGCTTGGTGTGTGTAAAGAGAGATCAGGCACCTTGAGGTTTTTAACAGCCACAGCGGGGTCTGTGAGGAAACTCTGACGGACGCTGATCTCGATCCCAGCCTCCTTCACCCGCTCCTCCAGATCGTCCAGAGTCTGAGCAACACACAGACAGAGAATAAAGCTCAGGATCCACAGCAGAGGAAGAGGAGACAAAAACAGGTAGAAGAGGGGGAGTGATGATGCAGGTTTAAAAATAAAAATCAAAAGAACCGGAAGCTGCAGTTGAAATGTGATAAAGAGGAAGATGAGCTCGAGGTTTAAAAAGACTCCTGCATGTGTGGGTTGACTCTGACAAAGAGGAGAGGAGCAGCGTTAGAAAACACATTAACCACCTTTAGTGTGACTTTTTTATTCTCTACACTTTAAACAAATCAGATCCACTTTGAAGGAGGAGATCTGTTGGGAGGCCGGTGTCCTGATGCAGCAGCTCTGCATGAATGAAGTGAAGATATTAACCGAGGTTCGAGAGCAGGACAACGCCTTAACCACACCAGACATCACCAGACGAGCCTACTTAGCCATCCCACTCCATCCTGTTTCTCTCAGTTCTTCGACCCACCCTCCCTTCCCTTCCTCTCATCCATCCTCCCTCCTTCCTCATCCCTTAATCTTGACGTTTTGTCTAATTCTAGGAACAGTCTGGGCAGTGATCCTGAGTCTCCCTCTGCCCTGCAGTCAGTCCGTCCCCCAAGAACCTACAACATCCTCTTCCATCATAATCGTTATCTCATCGTACATTCATATGCCTCAAAATTCATAACTATATAAAACCCATATTGTTGGGGCGGGGTCCTTGCTAATGAAGTTCTGGTGTAGATGGTAAATGGACTTGAGCTTGTGTGTTTCTTTTCTAGCCTTCTGACTACTCAAAGCGCTTTTTCACCGCAGGTCACACCTACACATTCACACACTGATGGTAGAGGGGAAGTGTGGCCATCAGAAGTAACTAATCCCATTCATACACATTCACACGCTGCAGATGAAGCAGCGGGAGCAACTTGTAGTGTCTTGCCCAAGGACATGTGGCGGCAGGAGCTGGGGATCGAACCCCCGACCTTCCGGTTAGGAGACGACCCGACTCTCCCACTGAGCCACAGCCGTGTGTAAAGTCCACACGGAGCCCTGCGTGTAAACTAGTAACCCGGTGACACTTTTGCTGTCTGTGCAGCGACATAAAAAGAGCAAACACGTGTTGTACGAATGCAAACTTCAGAATCAGGACGCTACAACGACATCTCTGAGCAGAACCAGAACCAGAACCTTCTTAACGACGAGAAGCCGTGTGTCGACTCACCGAGGTAAAGACTTCCGTGGTCTGCTGAATCGTGGCGATCTTTGTCCATTTCCACTTCTGGAAGAGTTGGACTCGTGTCGGGTTGTGCAGCGTGGCGGACGGGTGAGTTCTGAAGAAGGTCGGGAAACGCTGACGGTTTGACAGAGCCGGAGAGCTGGAGCCGTACGACAGCTGACACACACACACACACACACACACACACACACACACACACACACACACACACACACACACACACACACACACAGGAGAACAAAGGTCAGAGTCAGTCTGTATGTGTGTGTGTGTGTGTTTGCGTGTGTGTGTGTGTTGTGTGTGTGTGTGTGTGTGTGTGTGTGTGATTTTCTGTTTGTGTGTCTGTGTGAGTGTGTGTGTGTGTGTGTGTGTGTGTGTGTGTGTGTCTGTGTGTGTGTGTGTGTGTGAGTCTGTGTGTGTGTGTGTGATTTTCTGTTTGTGTGTCTGTGTGAGTGTGTGTGTGTCTGTGTGTGTGTGTGTGTGTGTGTGTGTGTGTGTGATTTTCTGTTTGTGTGTCTGTGTGAGTGTGTGTGTGTCTGTGTGTGTGCGTGTGTGTGTGTGTGTGTGTGTGTATCTGTGTGATTTTCTGTTTGTGTGTGTGTGTGTGTGTGTGTGTGTGTGTGTGTGTCTGTGTGTGTGTGCCTGTCTGTCTGTGTGTGTGTGTGTGTGTGTGTGTGTGTGTGTGTGTGTGTGTGTGTGTGTGTGTGTGTGTGTCTGTGTGTGTGTGCCTGTCTGTCTGTGTGTGTGTGTGTGTGTGTGTGTGTGTGTGTGTGTGTCTGTGTGTGTGTGCCTGTCTGTCTGTCTGTGTGTGTGTGTGTGTGTGTGTGTGTGTGTGTGTGTGTGTGTGTGTGTGTGTGTGCCTGTCTGTGTGTGTGTGTGTGTGTGTGTGTGTGTGTGTGTGTGTATCAGCGAGATGTGGAGCCAGTTTAAAAGTATTCTTTTGTAAAACTTCAGAAAACCACGGAGCAGAAAAGTCCTGCACGTTCACCGTTAACTAAAACTGTTTCAGAACATTTAAAAACTCGACTTTCACTTTATCCAAGGTCTTCATCAAGACTCTCCAAAGATCTCCAGGCTGTATTCCAGGATGTTGACATGTTGGATTATAAAGGGAAGAGAAGCTGCAGACTCCCTGCGGGCTGTTTGTGCTCTAATCTGTGATAGTATAGTGAAGCTGACACTCAGGCATGAATCACTGAATAAATCAGAATCACACAGTCTATGACTCTTCTGACTGTAACAGCGTCAGCTCAGTTTATTTAAGTGTTCAGTGTCGGCTCGGCGTCTTTGTGTTACATCACTGAGCGTTTTAAAACACCTTCAACTGTGACCTCATCACACCCAGCAGCCTGTTCAGGGCCCCGACTCTGTGGGTGTCTGGATTACTGTTCAGATGCTAATAAAAAAACACGACTTTCATTCAGTTTGTGTTTTGATTCTTGTGTGAAATGAAAAGTCTGCGCTGCACATGTGCGGTTTCTTTTGTTGCTGTAGGTCCAGGAACATGCGCGACGTTGAGTTTTCTCACCACTATGAGGTTCCACATGCGAGCGGCTTCAGCGACCAGCGTGGACACGGAGCTGCAGCCCGGCATCAACACCATCTTGATGGGCTCCGTGTACAGGAGGTCATACAGCAGCTTGGTGGCCTCGCCCGGGTCGCACTGACGACGGAGAGAGAGAAAATGTGAAACACAATGTGAGGATCAGAGACTTAAGAAGCAGGTTGACAAACAATCTGTGAACAGCATATATGATTTTATAACATCAGTTAAAAAACAATGAAAGACATTTGAATGCACCCTGGAACAGCTGTGAAGTAAAGCATGATGACATCTGTCACCAATCAGAAGGATGTCGTCAGTGTCGTCTTTCAGGTTTGGTTTAAAGGAATCATGGATCTCAGGCTGAGCTCTATTTTCTCACTTCTTTTCTGGTATGAACATGAACATTGTCAACAGCCAATCACAGCACTCTCTCCGGCAGAAAACAGGAAGCAGCAGAGAATAACGTAAATATCTAATTTCATCCGACCGTTGTGATGTGTAGTGACGACACCCTGAAGAATGTGCAAGTCGATACACGTTGGTGTATTTAAAACAAAACCCCTCCTGAGTGCCTGAGTGAGTTTTCCTCCACCTCAAGTATTCCCTTCCATGAGCAGCGCTGGTTGAAGATGTTGTCTCTCATTTTCAATGAGATCTTGGGTTTATTTTGGGCCACATATGGAGGAGTCAGAGTGTCAAAGTTAGGATGACAAGCAGAGCATAAAAAGAACACACATCTATGTTTATGAAGCAGTTAACAGGCTGTTAAACACACTCTCCCCTCTTTCTAAAGCCAAGTCCTACCTTGTAGTCATTTAGACCTAAAACAAGTAGGGGGTACTGGCAGCTAAGTGGTTAGTGAACGCCCCCCAATGTCCTCGAGAGGGGCTAGGTAAGAATCTGAATCCGTTTCCTTCATATCTTTCCCCAATCTCTTTCTCTTCCCAGTTTTTGACTCTATCAGCTGTCCATTTAAAAAAATGCATTTTTTTTATTGGAGGGATTCCTCTCCTACCCACATGTCATAAGAAACAGACGTAGCTTTTGCAAAGCTTGAGTACATTTCCTTACTACTTCAGAAAATCAAAATAATTGATTGTGTGTTTTGAAAACATGTGATATTAAAAATGATCGTGTATAAAATGATCAAGTATAAAAAATCATTTTCTCAACCCTTGTGCAAAAAGATTCTGACCTCTCCTGTGAGCTAACATGTTACATTTCAACACACGGCGCTGAGGCAGAGCCAGCAGGCGGGATGGGAGATGGGGGGAGGTGGGGGAGGTGGGGAGTAGGGGGGATGGGTGGGGGGTTGCAGGTGAGGCACGTCCCAAGGTCACCTGTGTGTGTCTGGTCTGTGAGGCAGAGACACATTCATCAGAGAGAGGCTGGAGAAAACATTTACCCAGCAGTCAGTCTGATTTATCCTGATGCACACACACGTATACACACACACACACACACACACACACACACACACACACACACACACACACACACACACACACACACACACACACACACACACACACACACACACACACACACACACACACACACACACAGAGAGGCTCACATACAGCTCACTTACAATCATCAATGAAAAATCAATACGCTGTTTAAATGATAATGTGTATGTATGTGTGTGTGTGTGGGGGGGGGGGCATTAATCGTGGAGCAGACATGCTGGATGACCGAGTGTGATCATGTTTGTCATCTTCATGTCACTAACATCTGTTACAACATGAATACACACACACAGAGCGAAGAGAGCTTCAGCAGAAAATCGATAGTGACTCTGCAAACAGGCAGGGTTCAGGCTGCTGGTGGTGCAGTGGTTAGTGCGCACGCCCCCTGTATGGAGGCTTTAGTCCTCCAAGCGGGGCGGCCCGGGTTCAAGTCCAACCTGTGGCTCCTTTCCCGCATGTCATTCCCCACTCTCTGTCTCCCTGATTTCCGACTTTATCCACTATCCTATCTCTCCATAAAGGCACAAAAAGCCCAAAAACGAATCTTAAAAAAGACATTCCAGTTGAAGCACATGTTACAATTAAAGGAGCAGTATGTAGCTCTAACACCTAGTGTTTAAAATGGGTACTGCAGTCCACATTCTAAATACTGCAGAGAGCTGTCTCCCCCCGCCCCCTCCTCTCTAGAGTCGATGCTCATGCAGGTTGCCATGTGGTGGACACTGAAGCTCTCTAACCTCGCTCCATTTTTCAAAAGCATCTCCAATATTGATCCTAGTTTGAGCACGTTTCTGCTCGTGGAGCTTATTAGAAACATGCAGAGGCTTTTTTAGGTCTGGTACAATCACTTCTATCTGAACCACTTCTCTTGCCCGCTTCAATCGCTGCAACACCTGTTGACCTGATAACTGGTCTCACTGGAGACAACAATGACACAGATAACGATACAGCCTGACGTGACGTCTCAATCTGCTATGAATAATATCTGCAGGGATGAACACTCTGCTTCTTGATGGCTCACTCTCTATTCTTCTCTTCTTAGATTCGTCCTCGTCCTCTTAGCCTCGGGCCGTTGCAAACGGTAAAGAGACGGGTTAACTGGGTAGCAGGAGAACTAAAGCACACTGCCAAACTCACATAGTCCTAAAAGCCGGCAACCTCGGCAATCAGTGGACGTGGGCGAGACGCTGTCCTGCCTGTTGAAAGTTATTTTTCTATTAGATGGTCTTTGAAGGTTTGGATCTCTGATGAAGGTTCAAACATTAAACATCAAACATTCAAACAGGCTCAGTGTCACTTTCTGCTGATGAATGTATCTGTTATCATCTCTGACTACATGTAAACTTGGACCAGGCAGGTTTCCTAGCAACCAGATCCTAAATCTGTGTGTGTGTGTGTGTGTGTGTGTGTGTGTGTGTGTGTGAGAGTGGGAAACCGGCTGCTGAGGAGAAAGAGGAAGCTGCTCCTCCTCCTCCTCCTGATCATCATCATCATAATTTCTCTCTACGAGCAGGAAAGAGACCTCTCCTCCTGAATATCTCTATTTATCTATTTAAGGGGGGACACAGGGGTCATTGATTAACCACAGCATTCAGGGGAAATCAACACACAATCAGATGACCCCCCCCCCCTCACCTTTGAGATCAACCTTTGTCAAACATGATCCAGTTTCAGCTGATCAGAGACCTGCTCTGCTCTGGTCTCCATGACGATAAAGCTAACCCCCTGTGTTAGCATTAGCACGTTAGCCTGAGGAGCTGCTGCTGGCCTCAGATCATCCGAGCGCGCTCAGTGTGACGAGCAGCTGGTCTGTGATCAATGATTCTTCCATCGTTTGTCTCACTGAGCTCACACTGACTCTCTGTGATCGTCCATCTGCCCTCCGTGTGTGTGCGCATGTGTGTGTGTGCCCGTGTGTGTGTGTTTGTGTGTGTGTGTGTGTGTGTGTGTGTGTGTGTGTGTGTGTGTTTGGAACATAGAGCAGCACCATCTCGCCTTCTTCAGGAGCCAAATCTGTGTTTTTGTTTGAACTGCAGTTGCCTTGGTTACTGTTGTCATGCCAACCTCTTCCCCACCTTTTACCCCCCCCCCCAACAAACACGCACACACACACCCCGCGCACACACGCTCACACACACACTAATCAGACTCCAGCGCGATGAACTCAAGATCCAGTTTTCTTCCTTTCAGCAAAGCTTTAAAAACGTTAACCTGGTGAAACATATCTTATAAATAAAGTTTTGACAGTTTTGACAAACTGCAGGTGAGGCGGCACACACCTGAGCTCTGACCTTTAAACACGCTGTTTAATCGCTGATGTGTATTCTTGTAATAAACCCTGAATCAAGCGGCTGGCGAGCTCTGCCATTGGAAAGTCTGAGAGCAGCAAAGTATTTTGGGGCGGTTTAGTACGACCAGTGTGTTCCTGTCTCGCACAAAAAAAAAATACATCCTGTCATTTCTCACACACACAAATGTGCATAATATGATTTTGGTGCTACATGCTCAGTGTGACGTCAAATTTAAAGCATGAAAGTATGCGGTTTTAGACGTCGCCTCTGTGTCCTGTTAGCAGCTCTGTAAAAGGAGATGTAGGGGTTTTCCTGCTGGGCTCTAGACCTGCTGCACCTCCACTGGTGCCCACTTGTTAGCTGCAGGCTCTTCAGCTGGGGACCATCGCTCACAGATGTTTCTCCCCTTAACCCAGAACATCTCCTGGTGGCAGGGGCAGCGAACGGAGACATCTCCCTGCAGCTAACATTGTTCAGGAGTTTCTCGCTCCTCATGCCTCCTCTGCCCGCTCTGATACCTCCTGGTTTGCCTAAAGCAGACTAAGCCTCGGTCTTTTAGCAGACGCATCACTGAGTCTCCCACAAAGCCTCAAGCCCTAACTTCCACCGGGTAGAGTCTTGTGCTCCATCAGCGTATTTTATCAATGCGATACGATACACTTTATTGTCCCTTTAGAGAAATTTGTCCTGGACTCAAAGTTCTGCCAAACATTCAGCTGCTTCCACTAGAATCAAGTAGGACCAGTGCCAGTGGGTCCTAGTGGGCCAAAAAAGAAATTAATCAAAACTCCTAGAGCCTAGAAAGTATCACAGATTGAACTGAAATGCTGTGGATCTCTGACTCTCTGCATCCTGGACTTTAAGATTTCTCTCTTTCCGTTCCCAACTACTCTTCAGTATTCTTCACATGCACAGATATTGAACCCCTTCATGTCCTGATCGGGTTTTTTCCAGCTCTGCACCTTTGAATTGTTTTTGTCTTTCATAACATTTACACAGATATAGACGAGCAGCAAAGATCCCGAGGTGAGCGGGTCGACAGAGAGCTGTTATCAGAATGTGCTTCACTGCTGTTCTTGTGCAAACACACACACACACACACACACACACATACACACACTCACACACACACAGATGTTCCTCTATACAGCAGGTAGAACATTTCTTCGAGGCTGCGACCCATTTAATGACCCCGCTGCTGTTTTTAAAGCAACAACACACAGAGGAGAGCCAATTATCCTGAAGACGGCCCCAGACGGCGTGCAACCGGGTGTGGAGAAGAAACGCAGACACAGTGAGGACACAGAGATTAATATGATCTGAAGATAACACCGAGGGCAGCCCAGCACACACTCAGTGAATTTACACGTGAACAAAGTTATAGCCAGTTGGGAAGTAAAGGAAGCAAGATCACTTGTTTTTTTCTTTGAAGGAAACACATGTTGGGTTTTTAAATATCCAGTTTGTTGCTATTATTAGTCAGACACACTGAACAGGACAGTCAGATTTAGTACAGGCGGTAGAAAACAATCAGCACTGTCCGTGTTTGGAGAACAGAAGCTGAGCCCGGGGGTCAAAAAGAGCTTTTTTTTGCTCCCCCAAAAAGAATCCATCCACTGAAGCTGGAAAATAAATTGGAACCTTGCAATAAAGTTTAAGGTTCAAATATGTGGAAATTGCACAAACACATTGGCAATGGTGAGGTACCAAATCATTTCCAATGTTTTTGTGCAATTTAGACAGTATGCAGGAGTTTGCCTGCAATTTTTGATAAGTGAAAACCCCAGTTTGGGGTTCGTAGGGCTCTTTTTGTTTCTGCATTGGTATCAGATTTGGTATCAGTATTGCTGATTTTAAAGCAACAATGTGTGACGTTTCCACTTTAAAGGTTGAGTCAGTAATGTTGGCTGCAGCTTGACTGGGCCCCTCCTCCTCCTGGGCTCATCACCCCCAGAAGCTCACCCTCGATGCAGGATGTAGTGTATACGTTTACTGCTTGTACCTACGCTGCAAGCTACTGCACGCCTGTGTTTGTCACCTGCCTGTCCAACAGGATGCAGACCAACTCCACGTCCACGAGTAAAAGACAACACAAGGTTCACCCTCGCTTTAGAACGAGCTTTATCCGCTTGGTGTTTCTCCTCACTGTGATTATATTTTCATTTGTTTGCTGCTACGTCCACGTCTGTCATATTCACCGGTTTGAATCAAATCAAATCACTGAATGTCTCTGAATCACTTCTAAACTCACCTGCTGTGCTGTCATAGGCTGAGGAGAACACAACCACTCACCGCCAACAAACATCCTGAGCCGATCAAAACAAACCAGAACAGTAAAATCCAGTCAGAGGACAGACAACATGTATGGAGGCCCAGAAGGGACGATGGAGCAGCTTTACTTTAGGAGAAGTCTGTATTTTATTTTATTTCAGGAAGAAGCTTCTGACTTTCAAATAGTAGACTCAAAGTTGATCTAACAGTGAAATAACTTTCAACAGGGAGAATGGCGTCTATCCCATTTTCACAGAGCGTCCAGCTCGTCTGCTTTCAACACTTCTCAACTCTGACGGGCGCGTTTCTCTCGCTTTACTGTGATAGTAGAAACAAGTATTTAAAATGAGAACCCAGAAATAGTTTGAAGTAACAATGGAGAACAGATTTTTTAGTTATTCATTTACAGTAGTTCAGACTTCAAACTCTTTTAAAATTCATACTGACGGAGGTGATGGAGGTGATGGAGGTGATGGAGGTGATGGAGGTGATGCAGGTGACTGAGGTGATGGAGGTGACTGAGGTGATGGAGGTGATGGAGGTGATGAAGGTGATGGAGGTGACTGAGGTGATGGAGGTGATGAGGTGATGCAGGTGACTGAGGTGATGGAGGTGACAGTGGTGACTGAGGTGATGGAGGTGATGAAGGTGATGGAGGTGATGAAGGTGATGAAGGTGATGGAGGTGATGGAGGTGATGCAGGTGATGGAGGTGACGGAGGTGATGAAGGTGATGAAGGTGATGGAGGTGATGCAGGTGATGGAGGTGACGGAGGTGACAGAGGTGATGGAGGTGACGGAGGTGATGCAGGTGATAGAGGTGATAGAGGTGATGGAGGTGACGGAGGTGATGGAGGTGACGAAGGTGACGGAGGTGATGGAGGTGATGAAGGTGATGGAGGTGATGCAGGTGATAGAGATGATGGAGGTGACGGAGGTGATAGAGGTGATGGAGGTGATGGAGGTGATGAAGGTGATGGAGGTGATGCAGGTGATAGAGATGATGGAGGTGACGGAGGTGATAGAGGTGATAGAGGTGATGGAGGTGACGGAGGTGATGGAGGTGACGAAGGTGACGGAGGTGATGGAGGTGATGAAGGTGATGGAGGTGATGCAGGTGATAGAGATGATGGAGGTGACGGAGGTGATAGAGGTGATGGAGGTGATGGAGGTGATGGAGGTGACTGAGGGGGTGGAGGTGACGGAGGTGACAGAGGTGATGGAGGTGACTGAGGTGACAGAGGTGACAGAGGTGATAGAGGTGATGGAGGTAACTGAGGGGGTGGAGGTGACAGAGTTGATGGAGGTGACTGAGGTGATGCAGGTGATGCAGGTGATGGAGGTGATGGAGGTGACTGAGGTGATGGAGTTGATGCAGGTGATGGAGGTGATGGAGGTGACGGAGGTGACTGAGGTGATGGAGTTGATGGAGGTGATGGAGGTGATAGAGGTGATGCAGGTGATGAGGTGATGGAGGTGATAGAGGTGATGGAGGTGATGCAGGTGATAGAGGTGATGGAGGTGATGAAGGTGATGAAGGTGACAAAGGTGATGGAGGTGATGCAGGTGATGCAGGTGATGGAGGTGATGGAGAAGACGGAGATGATGGAGGTGATGGAGGTGATAGAGGTGATGCAGGTGATGAGGTGATGGAGGTGATGGAGGTGATGAAGGTGATGAAGGTGATGGAGGTGATGCAGGTGACGGAGGTGACGGAGGTGACGGAGATGATGGAGGTGATGGAGGTGACGGAGGTGACGGAGGTGACGGAGGTGATGGAGGTGATGGAGGTGATGGAGGTGATGCAGGTGACGGAGGTGACGGAGGTGATGGAGGTGATGAAGGTGATGGAGGTGATGGAGGTGACTGAGGTGATGGAGGTGATGGAGGTGATGGAGGTGATGGAGGTGACTGAGGTGATGGAGGTGATGGAGGTGACGGAGGTGACGGAGGTGATGGAGGTGATGGAGGTGACTGAGGTGATGGAGGTGATGGAGGTGATGGAGGTGATGGAGGTGATGGAGGTGATGGAGGTGACTGAGGTGATGAAGGTGATGGAGGTGATGGAGGTGATGGAGGTGATGGAGGTGACTGAGGTGACGGAGGTGATGGAGGTGACGGAGGTGACGGAGGTGATGGAGGTGATGGAGGTGATGGAGGTGATGCAGGTGATGGAGGTGATGGAGGTGATGGAGGTGACGGAGGTGATGGAGGTGATGGAGGTGATGGAGGTGATGGAGGTGACTGAGGTGATGGAGGTGATGGAGGTGACGGAGGTGACGGAGGTGATGGAGGTGATGGAGGTGACTGAGGTGATGGAGGTGATGGAGGTGATGGAGGTGATGGAGGTGATGGAGGTGACTGAGGTGATGAAGGTGATGGAGGTGATGGAGGTGACTGAGGTGATGGAGGTGATGGAGGTGACGGAGGTGACGGAGGTGACGGAGGTGATGGAGGTGATGGAGGTGATGGAGGTGATGCAGGTGATGGAGGTGATGGAGGTGATGCAGGTGACGGAGGTGACGGAGGTGACGGAGGTGATGAAGGTGATGGAGGTGATGGAGGTGATGCAGGTGATGGAGGTGATGGAGGTGATGGAGGTGATGCAGGTGACGGAGGTGACGGAGGTGATGGAGGTGATGCAGGTGATGAAGGTGATGGAGGTGATGCAGGTGATGGAGGTGACGGAGGTGATGGAGGTGATGAAGGTGACGGAGGTGATGGAGGTGATGGAGGTGACGGAGGTGACGGAGGGTCAGTCTGTCAGACACTCACCATGCTGTCGTAGTGGATCAGCTCCAGCTCGTAGTCCGGCAGGATGTCCTTCCTCTTGTTCACCAGGTCCAGAGCCATCTGAGCGGCGGGGAGGCAGGCCTGTCCCCCCGGCCAGCCCCCGCTCATGGGGAACAGAGCTCCGATGTAGAGCTTCTTCTTACCTAGAGCCGGGCAGGAGCAGAGGAGGAGGAGGACAGAGAGGGTCAGAGAGCAGCTCAGGAGCCGGGACATCGCTGACGGAGGATTCAGATTCAGTCGGTTTGATCCTCAAAACAACCAAGACGCTTCAGATCTGAGTCTGTGGAGCTCTGTGGTGGGGTCAGGAGATCTGGATTCCCATGAGCTGCTCACATATGGGAGCACATTAACGAGATAATTTGACTGCATAGAACCATGTAAGAGTTAAAGTCTCCTTCTCTGCTCTGACTAAATGATCACTGCGGGCGTGATGATCCACTCCAGAGAACTTCATAAACCCTCCGCTCGCTCAGAAATCCTTGTGAAACTCGTTTAAAGAAATCAATCAGTAGCAGAGAAGAGATGAGCAGAGATCATTCACAGCAGCGGGAGGAGCTCAACTTGAATATTAAGTCAGGATTAAATCAGGTGAGAAGCTCTTTCGCTGTCCGAGGTCCTGAAACTAAACTCAGCGAATCCTTCAGCTTCAGCCTGAGAGAATAAAAACAGCTCCTCTGTTCTCCCCTGCGTGAGATATGAAGAAAAATCCACAGTGAGCTCATGAGGAGACACACAGAGCTTTATTCTGCACGGATCCTCTCGGTCCTTTTTTCTCTCCTCTTATGCACCTACAAACAACACACAGCACCTCACGCTGTATAAAAACTCTGCAGCGCACCATAAATATCTGTTTCCAATAATCCAATAAAGTCAATCAGGAGAGCGGCTCATTTAAAAGCAAGGTCGATCTGCATGTTGCTGGAATGCGGTGAAGCCCCTCCAGAGAGGAGACGGAGACTGAGGCTGACTGCAGCAGAGAGGGAGGCAGAGTGAGAGAGAGGGGGGGGGGGGGATAGAGAGAGGAGGAGGAGGGAGGTTCAGTCTCTCTGTTTCACAAACCACTTTGAATTTGCAATCCCTTAACACAGCTCTGCTCATTTATCTTTCCTCCGCCCGCTCCATCGACAACCAGCCCTCCCTCCCTCCCCCTCCTCCTGTCGGTACATCCTCCCCCAACCAACTCAGACAAATGTTAATTAACCGTCAAAGACACTTCACCTCGTGGCCCCCGGTCCCCTCCCTCGTCCTTTCGCCTTCACTATTTAATGATAATTCTTTTGAACCGATTGGACGAAGAATCCTCATTAAACCGATACTGGAAACTGTCCCCTCAAAGTCATTCATTCATTTTAATCAAACAGAGAACAGAGCAGGATTAACTCAGAGTTAGCCAGGCTCAAACCTCCAGGGCTGAAACAGGAAGCCAAAAATTGCAGTTCCTCCAGTGTCCACTAGAGGCTGTCTCAAAAAGTGAGTCAACCCCCATAGAGCCCCATTTTAAAGTGTCCAACTTTACAGCAGGAATAAAAACGTTTACAGAACCAAAAAAAAATTGTTTTGGTCTTTTATGACACCTGTACCAAGATGCGTTTTAATATACTGTAATACTTCTTATACCTTTTTTTTTTTTTTTTTGCTGTGTCCAATATACCAGTGCAACCAATACACATAATACATAATTGTGTTCCATTTACGTCGGGACTCGGATCTCAGAGCTGGGAATGACGTCACACCCGAGTACATCGCGTCCCAGTTCCAGTTTTTTGCAAGTTTCCATGAACAGGCTGGAGTTTGCACCTCTCAGATAAAAGCTAAGCAGTTAACAGGTGACAGTTATGGTCATTTGTTTTTCCTTTCAGGTGTCATTTCAGCACAAATGTGATATTTTTTTTGTCTTGTTCATAACGAGCAGAAAGGTCTTTTATTTTGAAAAGCCTCATTCAGAGAGTCATTAGGCTGTAATGAATCATTCTGTGTCTCTCCCCATCCAACCCACAGCCACACGTTTCTCAGTGTGCTCATGCCTTCCATTTTCATTCTATCTGTGTGTGTGTGTGTGTGTGTGTGTGTGTGTGTGTGTGTGTGTGTGTGTGTGTGTGTGTGTGTGTGTGTGTATCTGTGAGTATATCTTTAATAATGTATCAGCACAGTGATGAGCTGACACCGATCCTTCTCTCCTCATTATCAGCTCTTATTTTTTTCTCTGCTGCTTTTCTCATTATCTCTCTCCCCTCCTTACTCTCTCCCTCTCTCTCTCTCTCTCCCTCTCTCTCGCTCCCTCTCTCTGGGTGGGTTGATGTGGATCTATATCTATTTCTCGCTCTCTGTGGGATTACGGGTGCAGAGAGAGAACAGAGGGTGTATCTGCTCCGCCCACGTCTCTCTGCAGCTCGCCGTTATCACAAAGTGTGCCGTCATTCTGTGACTGTTCAACCACTTTATATTTTTTATTTTCCCTCTCCTCTGTTTGGAGCGTTTCCTCTCAGTTAATGCACAAACACTTTGTGCGGTGCTGATAAGTGACTCTGACTTTCTAAATAATGAGCTCATTCTGTATAGTGGAGTTCTCCTGATGAAGGAGCGTACAGACAGCTCACTCCTCTCGTCATGTTCTGCAAACATTCATTAGTCAAGTTCATGAATGTGTTCATTGCTGTAGAACATGTGAATAAGACATGATGCACGTGTTCGCATAAAAAGACTTAAAGCCGTTACAGCCGTGCTCAACATTGTCTCGACTGGCCTCGTGTTGCATTCTGTCGAAATTGCAAAGAGACATTGGCAACATTTCTGTACCGAGACCCCTGCGCAAAACTCCTGAAACATCCGGCGTGTGTGAACGCAAAACACAGAATATTACACTGCAACCTATAAGGGAATTTTTCCCGCCAGCCCACAAATACATTATCTGCTTCAAGTCAGGGTGAGCCAAAGTGAGAATGCAGAAGGAATTATTCAACAATTCACTGCGAGCGAGTAGGAAGGGGAACGGGTGATGACATGTATATCCTACGACCACAGACTGTCTGCACATGATGAAACTGCTTCATCTTGTTTTCTGTTCCCCAGAATGTTCTTCTTAAAGATGTAAATATGAATGTTTGAAGCCTGAGTGACATCACCCGTCTGTTCCTGCAGGGGGCGCTGGAGTCCCATCGATGGCGGTCTCCGTGCTGGAAATGCTGTCTCACCCTAACTTTCAGTCAACCTCACGACAGGCTGAAAGCTGGAGCTGAGGCGGGTTTTAAGCCTTCTGAGAAACCGATACACCGCGCCCACCTGTGAATCAAGTCAGCTACACGCCTTATTGTGAATAACTCTTATCCTTCTTTGAATCAAACGGATGAGTCATCAAAAAATCCACAGTGTGTGCCAATCGATGTCTGAGCTAGTCAGCTATATTTCAGGCTTTTTTGAAAGGGTGTGTATGTGACTTCCTGTGATTCTGCAGCCAGCCTCTAGAGGACACTTGATGAGCTGCAGGGTTTTGCACTTCTGCATCGTCTTCATTTTTCAACACAGCAAGGCAGCCGTTTGGTTTGCACACGATCAGTGCGACCTCTGGCACATAAAGAAACCGCTTCGTTAGATTTTCTGTTCGCCAGTAGGTTCTTTTCTGCTCATTTTTTAATATTATGAACATGTCAAACTACACGTCGCACTGATATAAAGGCAAAAAGTGTCATCATAGCGGAAACAGTCAGGAAAAGTCTGTCCTCAAATGTTCTAGACATTTTCAGGAGTGTATGTGTGAAAACAGCTCAAGTCAAAACGCTTTAGAAAGTCAGACAGCATGATATATTGAGTGCAAGAATCCACTGGGAGTCTCTGTCGGGGTGATGGATGGGTCCTGTGTGGGACCAAAAGTCAGTGTTGAGTTTCTGCCGTGAATTCAAAATAAACCCAAAAACTTTTCTGTAAATCTGACCACCTCATTCAAACCAGACTCGGGCAGTGTTTAAAGCTCATTGACGGTGACTACTTAGTAATAAATCATGTGTGAAGCTGAATTAAGGAGTCATTAAGATATGTGCAGTCAGGAAATGTAACTCGTGCATACAAGGCTAAATATACCCTACATAAAAATACACATGCTGGGGGTTTGTGCTGACTGACTGCTAACTATTTTTCCTTGTACATCTATGTTTAGATTATAATTTTGTCAGTTTTCACAAACTGCAAGGAAACTGGGTTAAGTTCAGACACTTTTTCCTGCATCAGCCAGATTGTAGCTGCAGGGATGTGTTGTGACCGACTCATAGAGAGAGGCACCCGTAGGAGCAATATTTAGGAGGTTTAACGTGTAAGACACCTTTGGATTCCGGTCATACACATTATAGGTAGAAACTGCATGGTGAAGCAGTGATTAGAGCTCACAGCGAGGAGGTTCCTGGTTTGAATTCCTGTCTGACAGGAGTCTCTCTGTGTGGACTCTGCATGTTCTCCTCGTGCATGTGTGGGTTCTCTCCAGGTACTCCGGCTTCCTCCCGACATGCTCGTTAGGTTAACTGGAGACTCTAAATTGTCCGTAGGTGGGAGTGTGGCTGGTTGTCTGTCTCTGTATGTCCGCCCTGTGATTGGCTGCTGAACAGTCTAGGGTGTAACCCCGCCTCTCGCCCAATGACAGCTGGGATCGGCTCCGGTCTCCTGCGACCCCGACCGGGAAAAGTGGTATAGATAATGGATGGGTGTTTCAGCAGCTAAAGCTGTACACACATAGACAATGCAGGACATGAACCCAGTCGCCATGGTGATGATGTTTAAATATGAATCAGCTGTTTAATGCAAAGGTGTATTAGATGGTGAAGTCTTTTATTAACCTCCTCTTTAGTGTTAAACGCTAATTAATGACTTACTTTATTGTATGTATGTTCCCCGCTCTGCATGTTATCTCTTACTACATTTTAAATAATGTTATGAATAAAGAATTTATCCGTCCCAGTTTGTATTAAACAGAGTAAAGATCTAACAGAGAGATTGAGAGATTCTTCACCTCCTCTTTCTTCCTCTCTCTCTCTCTCTCTATCGTTGATCTAAGTTTTACATTTCTATATTTTCCCGAGCACTAAAGCCCAGCGGGGAAGCTTCAGAGCACAATCACATGCGACACGTTTGCATTACTCACGCTGCTGCTGCTGTGCTC